GAGCAAGGATAAGGCGAAATGAAACGTTGTTGCTGTCACGACGAGTTTAAAGCGCTTTTAAGCCGAATAGAATAGGCGACGACCGGTGATCGTTACGCGTTTGCCAGAAGAACAAACTTTCGCCATTCGACGAGACCGGTTGTTGAAAAGGCGGCGAGTTTGCTCAATGCGCAATCGTTTCTTAGAAACTATTCCGTAACGCGTTAAAAACGGATCGATCACCGATGGTGGTCGGTTTTCTCGGTTCAAGGGAACCTTTGTTGTTCCCAAATTAATCCAAAAAAAATAAAATACCCCCCATTTTTGAAAAACCTCTCATTTCTAACTTCAAACTAATAAAATCCAAAAAGGAATATCAAACTTCGAATTTCGAATTATTTCAAATTAAAAAACTTTTCGTGTTATATATTATTTTAGTTACACGTATAATTTAATAGATAAGTCACGAAATTCTACATCAACCTTTCTTTTAAACTAACCAACATCCTACATATACCAATCTATCATTATCAATCACCTTATCCAAAAATTACAAGAAAATTTGAATCTATTATTTCGATACTAAACTTGTTTAATAGATATAGGCCTACATCCTCGAGTATATACTTATACATATGTATTTCGTACAAGTTATACTGTTCGAATAATAAACGATTAAGCAGGAACGGTGGGTCTTCGAATATCGAAGGCTCCACTGAATCGTATTCCACGTGTCCTTCGCGTAATTTTCGCGCGAACCGTTCTGCGGATTCCCTTTGCAGGACGCGGAGTCGGTAACGGGTACACGCAGTATGATGCACGGCGCAGTGTTCAGGGTAACGCGCAATAACTTACTCGGTTATGGCCCTTAACTCTATCCCATCGCGGCATGGAAATAGTTGGATTAATGAGATTTCGTTGGAACCGCTTCCAACACGCGAGATTATTAACGGGCTAAACAACAGTGTGTTGGCGATTTCTCGGATTCCACGATGAAGATATTCTTCTTCTGGAGACGGAGAGAGAGAGAGAGAATGATTTTAATCGTTCTGCTATTTGAGAAGCCGGGTGATAAACACTAATGCCGAAATATTGAAGGAATATTTATGAAACTAGAGTTAAATTATATTTAATTCTTGCAAAGATAGAGTTTAAGGGATCTTTTAAGATTGTGAAATTAGTGAAAGTGAAAATTAGATTTATTTTTAATTGATTCGTTATTTTCCATCGAATTTTCTCTATCAGAAAAAAGGAAAGAGAACATCTGTCAAGTTATTCAAGAGGGAACCAATGTCCCTCCTTTACCAAAAAAAAGGAGGAAACTTTTCTTTGGGACGTATCATCGTCTGTTCCATCTGGATTTGTCATTTCCAATCGAGGAATTTTCGAAACGTTTACGAAGAGAAGAAAACGTTTGAAACGAAATTAGACGGAGTTCGATGGAAAAATGAGCAATGAGACTCGATCAATTAAGAATTAACGGAGAAATAAGAAACTCGGCTGTGTTTCTCTCCTGGTCGAGGAAGAGAAAGAGAAAGAAAGAGAGAGAAGAAAGGGAGGGAGAAGGAAGAGAGAGAAATCCGCTTTCTGCAATTAATCGCATCAAGGACGACTTTCCCAGGCTTGAAGAGATGTCGAGGGAAAATTCATCGAATCGAGTCGAATCGAGCCGTTGGAGAGGCACAATGGCCGGGTTGATATCTTTAATTGAAATGCTTTAATTAGAAGGTTCCAGGAGGGAATGAAAAAAAAGAGCTGGGAGGTTAAACTGGAGAAAGAAAAATTGGGAAATTGGAGAGAATCGAAGAAGTTTGTTGTCACTTAACACTATCGATTCTTTATTTTAACAGAAACAGGAATAAAAAAAGTGGATTCTCAAAAGATTCGCGCAATGTAGTGTAATTTTATAATGAAATTGGAAGAGTAAAGGAAAATGTTTTATTCTCATTCAGTGAGTATAAATTGTATAGGTGAAATCAAGTTGGTAATGTACAAATGCAAATTTGTAGAGATGAATCTCTCTACATAACTTTCGAAATGCTTGTTTCATGTTACAATTATTAAGTTCAGTTTTGTTATATTAACAAGTACAATTTAATTAAGACGAATTTACGTAATATATATATTTTTAATGAGAATATATATACTTATATAAGCTAATAAAAGAGTAATATAAAATTAAAATAAATTATAACAAAATGATAAATTTTTTGTAGTTGTTCTCTTGAAAAATTTATATTTTTATTAATGAAAACTTCTATTATTTGTAATTATATTATTTTATTTTAAAAAAAACTAAAATACGAGAAGAAAATATTTGTTTAAAAAAAAAATATATATATATATATATATTCTCTACGAAGAAATCCATTGTGATTCTAATAACCTAAATGTATGGTTTAATTAAATGTATATTATTTAAAAAAAAACGAACATTGATATATTATATCATAAACAAGAATAATATAAAAAAAAAAAAGACTTATTTTTTCCACAATAATTATTAAAACACGTAATTTTTTTCAATAAAAGTAGAAATGGAAAATTGAAAAAACACCAGCGAAGAATATTTATATTTCAAATATCAAAGCTTCTCCTTCCCATCATTGCCTACGAAATCTCTCAGTGGGTCGACGTTCACCGATCCAACGAACAAGCCGCTCTGTATTCTCATCCGATATTTTTCCCGCTTTCTATTCCCTTTTTCGGGAGAGCCCCACTTTCAGATCGGTCGTGATAATCGGCCTCTTTCGTATGCAAAGACCCAGCCGTGATACTGTTATTGTTCCTAAATGAACGTTCGGCCACAGAATACAGGAGGGATTCAATCTTTTCGAGGAAGAAAGAGCGAAAGATCGGTGAATATAGAAAATTTAAACAAACTATTTAAAAGAAGCTGATAGCTTTTATTTTATACGTGAATTTAGCAAAGAGAATAAAAGAATAAAACGATAAATTTTGAAAAAGTACAAAAAGGGAATTATATAAACAACGAAAAAGAAATTCGATTCACGTTAACAGTAGATTATTAATCAGATCTAGTCTATTTTAATTTCACTATATTTCATCATAGTTACTTTTTATTTTGCCTATTCTAATTATTGATAAATGAAATTAATTTGTTTTAATTTGTTGATAAGAATTTTGTTGTATATTACGTTATTATAAAATCAACAAAAAACAAAAAGTAATTGTAATTCATAACATTTCTTCTACTATTTATTTTAAGCAAAACAATATTTAAAAGTCAAATTAATAATCGGAATACATGGAGCCATTATTAAGATCCTAAATGTATCTTATGAAATAGTGAGAAAAAAATACGGCTACTATATTGTAGCCGGTATTTTTTTATGTTTGAAGAAACTGGTAGTCGCCCATGACTGACCATAAAGAAAAAAAATGGAAAAATTCAAAGGAGATGCAACGAAAATCGACCTGGACCGAAACAGCGGGAAGCTCTGACAGCCACGAGGTGGCTGCTTCCAAATTAGCATTTCAATTTGTCCGCGCAGGTGTTTCACAGACAGCAGTCGCGACAACGACACAACTACGATCAACGAGTCGAGTCGAGTCGTCAGCCGGTGAACACCTGACATTTTCGATGCAAAGCCTCCGTGGAATACACCGAGTAACATTTACATAGTCATCCATACCGTCACGTCTTATCTTAGCCTCTCTAAACCGATAAATGAACGTTATTTTCCGGGTCGAAAGTATGAATCGATCACCAAGACGAAGTTACAGGATCGATTGAACCATATATCTTTGTAAAAGTGAACGATATACAAACATGGATAAAGTAAATGATTCATTTGTGTACAGAATATTGTGTCAACTTGAAGATATTTTTCAATTTCTTTTTGTATTAATATTTATTTATTAATTATTTTCCTAGATTTATTTTTTCTAAACGGAAAGAAACAAAATGATACAAAAAAAATTAATGAAAATGTGCAAATTATTTATATATTTATGTTTTGAGAACAACTATTGTGATAATTATAATTTATGTAAATAAATAAAGACCTAAGTTTCGTTTTAAAAATTTCTTTTAAAAAACGCAATAATTTAATTACTTTTTGTTTTTTGTTTAATTTTTAAAAATTTAATTAGTTGTAACTGGTTTTTTTCCTAACAGTTTTCAAATATTTACGTATGGTAGATAGTGATCGAACCTAACCTCAATCTAATTAGCTTATATTATAACTATTATAACATAATGTTATAAGTATTATAATATGGCTATCTGTTAATTTATCGATACCACAACATATACATAGTTCAAAAGCAAATGACAGACTTAATCTCATGATTTAACGAGATTTTGCATCGTGCTTGATTTTTGGGTCGAGCGAATTTCGAAACAATCGCATTAATCATTTGTCAGAACCCGTTTCTTTTACGAGATCGAAAACAATGAATACAAATCCGCTCGAAATACGGCACGTTATTATCGTTATGCCCGCATTGAAGAAGCTAGGAAATTTGGGATTGCATTATTATAATATTATTTATGACCCGGCAACAAAAAAAGTATGGAAAACGCGTGTCGAGATGTTAAAGGATGATGCAAATATCAATGCCAACTATTATCCTACGTACACGATGTTCTTAGTCAATGATCTGTCTTATTTATGTATAAAACGCAAGAGACATTGCATTTAACAATAAAGAGAATAACGATTTAAAATGATACTCGTCTAACGAATAGGTTAGGTATTATAACATGACTCCTTTGATGACGACACGCATTATGAGATGAGATTTTTCCTATTTTTGAACTCAAGGAATATATATATTGTGTGAAAAATGCATTTTCTTCGCTCAAAATTTAATATAGATAAAGATTTCAAAGAAAATGTATCGTAACAGATCGTTCAAAGGTATATATATATATCGTTTCATTGTGAATAGAAATGATCGATCTTTTATAGAAAAAAGTAATACATATCATATCGTTAAGAACCTAAAAGACGCAATATATAATAAGATATAGTTTTTTCTTAAAATTTTCTTACCTTAACGTGCGTTGTGTAGTCTTCATTTCTGGCTGTTTCTTTGCGAATTCTTTAAAGAGACCTTTAGCGTTGATCCATCGATTTGTTTCGAAGTTCAAGCACACGAATAACGACTATAAGTGAAATAAAAACGAAACAAAATACACAAACTCAGACACGCACACGTGGAAAAAAAAAAGAACACTGGTTTGAATTGCTTGCTTTGTGTTTGCTTTCAACTTTTATGATCTCGACCCGATTAACCACTCCATCGTGTTATTTTTCACGTGAATCAAGTTATATACGAAATAATCGCGATTAAATTCACTGGTCACCGATCAGTAACGTAATTATGACTGTAACGAGTAGAAAACGTAATAAGAACACAAATTTGCCCACTTAAACGAATCTTTTAGAATTCAACAATGGCGATTCAATGTCTTCCACTAATCGAAAATGCGATACTGGCTTTCGATTCCAAATTATCGAGATCGTACAATCGATTATCGATAGCTAAAAAGAAGTCAAATAGTACGATTGTTTCCATAGAGTGCGCGGCAGTAAAAGATATAAATTAGATTAGTGGGTCTCGTAACTGAGATACTTGAAGGTTAGGACGAATCCAGAGAGAAGCACATAACCTTTCTTTCACTAACCTTATAATCCTGCAACTTTGATGATCTTGATATCCACGACAAATTCTTTGAAACCTTTGAAATAATCAATTCTTTCGGTTATTGTACTTTTCCAAAGTACATTTTGATCTCTTATACGTTCCAACAACGATTGGCATGATGATTGTCGTTTCACGCGAGTCTATTCGCTCGCACGTGTCGCCGATTTTAATAATTATTGACAGCCGATTTTTTTCTCTCGTAAAATTATCTTTGGTATTCTCCAAAAATTGATATCAAACGATATAAAGGCCATATATTTTAACGTAAACATCACGTTTACATAAAAAGGATGAGAAATATATCTTATTACAAACGTTTCAACTTTATACACTAAGATCTTTTAAACTCTTCTCCTTGAATGAATCACGAGTCGTATTCGGAACATAGACACTCAAACCTAAGTAAACGTTACACTAAAAAATTGTATTTAAAATTTTCGAATACATTCGCAAATAAAACCGTGTCACTTAACAAATGACCGATGTCTTCTCCTACGACTAGTTTATATAATAAACATGGAGGGCGTCTCAGTTTCGCGGGAAAACAATTAGAAGCTCACTATATCAAAACGCGAGCACGGGAAATCTTGCAGCTATTTCGAACAGGTTGACACAGAAGACATCAGTTTGGAAAGCCAAAAAACTTGGAATCACACGGCAGGTGCAAGAAGGTGCCGGTGTAGAGGAGAAGCAAGCGACCTCCTCTCTTTGCCCAGGTCCCAACCGAGAGGTCCACCGTACGAGGACTGGTTTCACGAGACTCCCCGTGCTCGACCGGCCAGACTACTTCGGACACGACAGAGGGAGAGGGAAATACACAGAAAGAGTGTGTTCGACGGAAAGGCGGGAGGAGGCGGGAGGCGAGGAGCGTGTAGAGAGCGGACTCGTGGAGTGTGGGTCCCGTTCTTCGGAGAGAGGCTTACTCCACCGAGCGCGAGGAAGTACTGTTACTTAGACAGAACCTTCAGGGCTCGCAACACGCTGCAAAACGCGAGGTAAAGATCAGGACGCGGTGCATACAATTTTATCGAACCATTTGCCATTTGAAAAATCCGCTAGAATCGAGATTCGATTGTTCTGATTCTCTTTTTCTCGCGAGCTATCTCTTTTGTGCGAAGTTAACGTCGAGATAGAGTAACTCTCGAAAAATATCGATCGATATACAGTTGGAAATCGATTCACTCTTATCTTTCTCGACAATAATATACGTCTAAAGATACGTTGGAGACACGGTATGTTATTCTAACGTTTTTGTTTAGTAGAATTATGGACACAACCGGTATTTGTTTATATTTCCACAGCTATAAATTTACCTCAAGGCTTTGTTTTGAAACTAGCGATTGAATGATTCCAGAATCTAATCGACAAATGCGCAGATGAAAATTCGAACGATCTTCCATGGAAACCGTATTGCGTTTTACGAATAGAATATTCACAGGTCACGCGAAGCCACAATTGCTACGATACACATTTCAATACGATATATCGTGAAGAACGTGTACGCGTGCGTGGACATGCAGCAACGAATCGCGTGTCCTCCTTCACCTTCTGTTTACACGCGAAATTTCGGCAAGACGTGCTTCGCGTAGCTATTTTTAACACCAGAATCCTGCACGTTCCAATTAAAATTCATGTCGTACACGATGCAACGATGCTTTCAAATCCCTCCTTTCCCCCCGCGTTTTTTTAATTTCCCGTCAAAATCGAAAAGAAATTACAAAATATACGTTCACCGCTCGGTAGTCGCGGCTCGACTGGACGACTGGTCGACTCCACGCTATTACCCCGCCGTACTCACACCCGTATCAAGCGAAGTGGAGCCCTTCCGTGCTACCACTATCCAAGGTGCACCTATTGCCACGTACCTGCACGTGCTCGCGTATAACTCTTGCACTCGTGTGTGTGTATCATATGCAACGCGTACGTGTCGTTAGTGCATACGAATACTCGTACAGCCAGGTGTAACCGGTTTCACCGATTTTTTCCCGAAAAGCATTCGCGACCGTTTGTAAAATTGTTTGCCCTTTGTCGTTTCTTGGTATTCTCGTAAACTCGTGGAGACCATATTTTAACGCATTTCTCAAGCAATTTCGATTAAATGGGATCGTTTTTAAACGTTTAAATATCTAAGATTAATAATTATCGATAAAGTATAAATGAGATTGTAAGATAAAATTTAAGGAAATAATATTTTGATGATATTTTTTATTTTTTTTCTTTTAGTTTTTTAATTATTGATTGAATGGCAGATAATTATGTGGAGAAAAGTTATTTGTTGTTTAATCTGTTTTGCGTAACAGGAATGCATTTTTCAAAATTCCAAACGTATAATCGTCATGCACTGGATAATGTAAGGTGACACCAAGGTAGTCCGCTACCTTGATGGAATAAATACGCGTCTAACATCCTCGTAATCAAGCTCCATCAAACGAAGCCTTCTATTCTGTCAATGTGAATTTTATGTCTAATGAAATTTAACTTTCTAACAATCTGTGAAAAAAAATAAAAAAGATTGTAAAAAATATTATCCGCAAGACTTATTCCACAGTCATCAGACATTGTCATTTCACTTTCCACAAGATTTTTTTCTCGCGGCATTTCAATTAATCACATCACGAATTGAATGACTTCGTACCGAGAATGTTAATTATATAGAATTATACGATTCACCGAGTTGATTGAATCAATAATCTAACTTTCCCTACTGTTCCGTTGTTTTTATTTATAGTTCAATGAGCGCCATTCTACATTTCGTATATGTGATAAATTTTTTTTCCAGAATGGAATAACATAGACACACGTTTCATTTATTTCGAACGATAATTAACGATGGTAAAGTTGCAAAACAATTTCATCTCTGTTATATTACTATTATGTTTCCGTTGAGAGCTCGAGTAATTTATGATCCACATTTACATACAACATTCATAAATAAAATGAAGGTGCAAAAGAGGAAAAAAAAAAAAAAAAAAAGAAAAAACACTTGATTTGTGTTAATCCGATAAGATAGAATAATGAAATTGCATTTAAACGCTATAAATTTCTGTCGAGCCCTACGCGTTGCATGATCCTTTGAAGGTGCAATATCAATGCGACGAAGCCTAGGGAGGCAATCTTTTGAATCGCCGCTTAATAAATTGAGTCATTAGGAGCACGAGACAGCATACATAGCGAAAGTAATCCTTAATGTTGAACAGGAATAACCGCGCTGTAACTTTTAACAATAAAACCAAACCCCCAACATATCTTTGCGCCATGTAACATGATGTACGAGGTATATGCATAGCATAAGAGATACGTTTCTTCTATAAACTTGATTCTATAGGGATTGTGTAAAAAGATAATATTTTTTAACATTATGTAAAAGATTACAACTTGTAAGCTCAGCATGTTAGTCTTTTATATTCATTACTCTTTATTAACAATTTATATTCATTTGCTTATTGATTACTGATTTTATTTGTAAGATGAAAGAGAAGGAATGTTTATGTGAAAAGTAAATAACTAGTTTTTTACTCGAAAAAAAACAGGTATATCAGTTGCTTAATGAATATAGTTACAGATGAGATACAGAAGAGATGTAATTTAATATATTTTTTTGTTCCATGCCTTGGGTGCACTACGGATTCCTTTACCACTTTAACATCATTCTCAATGTTATTCAAAATAAGATTGCAACATTAATATTTGTAATTTTGTATTAAAATTTAGTTAAAATTACAATTAAGTTTTAATACAAAATCACAAATAAGAAATACAAACATTCTGTTATAAAACAGAATATTGTATGAAGCATTATATTTTATACATGAATATATTTAAACTATTGTGAAAAATAAGATAATTAAAATGATAATTCCATATTATGTACATTTTTATTAAGTGAGGATTAAAAATAAACTTTTTGTAATAATTTTATAATTATTTTAACAAAAAAGAATTATTTTTCATTCTATCAAATTTTTATATATAATTTATTTTAGAATCAATACCTCTAGTTGATTACAATCTGATATTAATTCATTGATAAGTCTATTAAAAATTAACGTATTATATACTATATTTTTAAAGATAAAATTATATTTTATTATTATATTATTATGTTTAAATTTTTCTTTAAATTTAACGTTTTATAAAATAATATTTACAATATATATAATATTTAAATATTATATATTTAATTATTTATATATGAAGTGTATAAATTAAAGAATTAAATAGAATAAGAAGTAAAATATAATGAAATATACATAATATCAGGATCAAATGTATTTTGAACTATAAAATTAAAACTATAAAAATAATTTGTGAGCTAATATTTTGTTTAAAATCTTATATTAAAATAGTACAATATTAAATGTTACCTTATATTCAATAATAATTAGTGTTTAAACAATTAACTTCATGTTTTAGAAATGTGTTACAAGATTACAAAAAGTGAAAAAAATAAATTTGACAAACAAATCTTTGATAGCATTTTTCAATAAAATGGTTTGAAATTTCTCCTTATTCCTTTTGTTGTCGAGTTTTCGTTTCTTTAAATTCCATTGTCGAAATAATCTCGTTGAAAAAAAAATAGGCACTATGTATAAGGTTATAATATTTTGTATGAAACTGTCATCCTAAAAATACATTGTAAAATTGAGAATATATATCTATATTTCTTACAATTCTTTTTTATAACTAAAAAAATTTTATAACTAAAATATATTGTAGTTTTGAAAGAGAAATAATGAAAATATATTCAATTGACATCCAATACCTCATTTGTGGTTAGGCGCCAAGAATAAATATAGACAAGAAGAATAAATAATAAAAGAAGATAGATATATGGTAAAAATTAGGAAACTAGCGCCATCTCTTGAATACTTCAAATAACACAAATATAGACAAAAAAAAGAAGCAATAAAACAAGGATAAAATACTAGATAAAAAAATAAATAGGCTAAATACTGATCGATGGCGCCATCTCTTTACTCAAGATAAAGTTGATATAAACAAGGAAAGCAAATAATTAAACAAAAATAGAAAATATACTGAATACTTAATGGTGGCGCCATCTCTCGATTTATTTTATAAATATAATTCTATCAATACTTAACGGTGGCGCCATCTCTCGATTTATTTTATAAATATAATTCTATCAATACTTAACGGTGGCGCCATCTCTTTACTCAGGATAAAGTAAATATAGACAAGGAAAGCAAATAATTAAACAAAAATAGAAAATAG